TTTACTTTGCAGACTAAAACTCTTGCTTTTTATCTTCTCTATTCCACTCTTTCCCTAAGAGTCTGAGACAAAATAGTTATTAAAGTTAAAGCCTATTTTAGCTTGCACCCTGATTACACAGTAACTGTCATTCAAGAAACAATTACTGCTCTTTTCTAGAAAGAAACCAGTGAGCAAGCAGACAGCAGAACAACAGTGCTGAAGGAGATTTGGGTGGGTTTAACATGTCTGTACAGACCCATCGCTCAGTGGCGAGGCCAGGGCTGCATTCAGCAGGCGGCTGCCCCTGCCATGGCTGGAGCTCCATCTCCTGCTGTCTTCTCTTCCACTTCTGTTTCCCCACGCCCTCTGCTTTCCATGGTGATGTCACCCAGGGTGGAAGTGCTGTTCCCTTACTGCTCTAAATCTTACTAGTTCAGGTCTGAGTGTAATGATCATTATTCTTCAAAAGGAAAATTTAGGAAGTGCAGTCTGATTCCTACAGGATTATATAGCTTCCTTTTTCAAGTGAGAGTTAGTCTGATTCAAATTTCAAAATGACAGCAACTCTTCTTTTTTGTAAATGGTTATCAGGGAGGACATCTTGAAATTTCAGTGAATGATAAAATAGTATTTTTTCTGGCTATGTTAATCTGTTACTTTAGTATCTTTAGTATAATCGTGACGTGATTCTGCTTCTGTTAGAAATAATCATTTAAGGGCAGTGCCTGTGGCTCAGTGAGTAGGGCACTGGCCCCATATACTGAGGGTGGCAGGTTCAAACCCAGCCCTGGCCAAACTGCAACAGCAAAAAGAAAATAGCTGGGCATTGTGGAGGGTGCCTGTAGTCCCAGCTACTCGTGAGGCTGAGGCAAGAGAATTGCCTAAGCCCAGGAGGGGGAGGTTGCTGTGAGCTGTGACACCACAGCACTCTACCAAGGACGATAAAGTAAGACTCTGTCTCTAAAAAAAGAAACAATCATTTATATTTATTGCTATCTTGCAATCTAGGGAATTTTTCCCTTTTGAATTTTTTTTTTGCAGTTTTTGGCCAGGGCTGGGTTGAACCCGCCACCTCCTGCATATGGGGCCGGTGCCCTACTCCTTAGAGCCACAGGCACAGCCTGGGATTTTTTCCTTTTGATGTTGAAATGAAAAAAGGGTCAGCATTTCATTTAACTTTTGTGTGTAGGTATTGTTTGTGAGAATGTTTATATTATAACATCATGTTAACTTACCAGACGTTATAAAGTATTAGGAACCATTTGAGGCTCTGCAGAGGGTGGTCTGCAGATGGCAACAGGAGCATGACTGGTGAGCTTGCTGCAAGTGTAGACCACAGGCCTCCTTCAGACCCGCCGTGTGGGTTCAAAGCTCAGTGGCTTCAGATGGCATCACTTTTGGTAGCACATCATCCTTTGGGTCAGAAATTTCAGTGCAACTCCACTGGACAGCCTTTCCGTTCCCTAGGGTGTTGACAGTTCCACAGAGGCATTTCAGCCAGGGGCTGGGCCAGATTGAAAGACCCAGGAAGGACTCCCAGGCATCCTCTATGTCCTTGCTGGCTCTGCAGGGCACCTCTCAGCTGTCACCTTCTCTTTTCCCAGGTAGGAGGAATGCTTCTGTGTGAACTGCCACACTGCATGCTGGAAGGGGTCTTGCCCAGCCTGGGGACCCTGTGGCATTGCGTCCCTGGACACCATCCCACTTGATACACTTTTTAGTTCTGTAGTAATTTCCAAAAGGTTGTACATTGGGGTCTAAATTAATTGCCCAAACAAGAGGTTATAAAATATATTTTCTTTCTCCACAAATATTTTAAAGAAGTTTAGTATAAGGATAATGTGTTTTTTGTTGTTGTTTTTTTGTTTTGTAGAGACAGAGTTTTACTTATAGCCCTCGGTAGAGTGTTATGAAGTTACAGCTCACAGCAACCTCTAACTCCTGGGCTTAGGTGATTCTCTTGCCTCCACCTCCCAAGTAGCTGGGACTACAGGCACCTGCCACAACACCCGGCTATTTTTTTGTTGCGGTTTGGCCAGGGCCAGGTTTGAACCCACCACCCTTAGGTGAACCCACTTACTGAGCCAAAGGTGCCGCCCATGTTTTATTCTTTTTTTTTTTTTTTTGAGACAGTTTCACTATGTTGCCCTTGGTAGAGTGCTGTAGCATCATAGCTCACAACAACTTCAAACTCTTGGGCATAAAGGATTCTCTTGCCTCAGATTCCCAAGTAGCTGGGACTACAGGCACCCACCACAATGCCTGGCTGTTTTTTTGTTGTAGTTGTTATTGTTGTTTTTGTAGCAAGCCCAGGTCAGATTAAAACCTGCCAGCCTCAGTGTATGTGGCTGGCGCCCTAACCACTGAGCTAAGGGTAATGTTTTAAAAGTCTTTTTAACACACAGGGAATAATTTGTTCAACCTCTATTTCATAAATTTCCTGAAGCATCAGGTAGCAGAATAAACCATTAACAATTACAATAAATTTATAGTTTATCTTTTAATTCTTTTGCTGAAAACACAGAATAATCTTGCTATTCATTTTATTTCTATAACTACTTTATTAAAATGTTTATCGAAAACACTCACTAGAGGGTGAGTGTGGGGTCCAAGCCTGTAATACCAGCCCTTTGGAGCTGAGGCAGGAGGATTGCTGGAGGTCAGGAGTTCAAGATCAGCCTGAGCAATACAGTGAGATGAGAATCTGTCTCTGCAAAAAATTAAAAAAAAGATTAGCCAGGAGCAGTGGCATGAGCCTATATCCCAGCTACTTGGAAGGCTGCTTAATACCAAGGGTTTGAGATCAGCCTAGACCCCAAGCTCTAGAAAAAAATTATTTTAAATAACCGGGAATTGTGCCAGGTGCCTGTAGTGCCAGCTACTTGGGAGGCTGAGGCAGGAGAATCCTTTGAATACAGGAGTTTGAGGTTGCAGTTAGCTATGATGACACCACTCTGCTCCAGCCTGCATGACAGAATGAGGCCCTATCTTAAAAAGTTAGAGCTCCAATTTTAATAAATTTTGTCCAGGTGGGGTTAAGTCATATTTAGAAAAAAATCTTTGGAAAAATGTTTAGTTGAGTATTTTGTATTTAAAACTTTTTTATGGCTTTGCACCCATAACACAGTGGTTAGGGCGCTGGCCATCTACACCAAGGCAGGCAGACTTGAACCTGGCTTGGGGCCTGCTAAATAATGACACTTGCAACAAAAAATAGCCGGGCTTTGTGGCAGGCGCTGGTAGTCTCAGCTTGGGAGGCTGAGGCAGGCGAGTCACTTTAGCCAAGAGTTTGAGGTTGTTATGGGCTGTGACACCATAGCACTCTACTGAGGGTAACATAATGAGACTCTGCCTAAAAATAAATAAATAAAAATACAACTTTTATATATTTATTGTATATTATTTTATTCATATATATTTAAATCTTCATATATTTATCAATGTGCTTTTCACATTGTTTTACTCAACATAAAAATGTGATTAGGAAATTGGTTCAGTATAACATATTTTACTGCCTAGACGTATGAACACTATTCATGTGATTAATGGTGATCTGTTTTAAGAAATTAGTTTCTCAGCCCCTTTATGTACTTGCTGTGTCAAGCACATAAAAAGCAGTAGTTGTTAAGTGACCTGTGAGCAGAGAAGGTCAGAACTCTAAGAGCGGTGGACTGGAGATGCTGCTCTAGCACAGCCCTGACAGTCAACAGCTGCCAGATGTCTCACTGAGATGGGCCCCAGTAGCCCAGACTGTGTAGGAGTCAGGGAAGTAGGAACGCTAGCATTGACTGCTGTCAGTCCGGGTCTGCGCATTCCCTGCACAGTGGGAATGCTTCCCCGCCATGCACCGACTTGTCTCAACTATTCAGTAAGAACCCCAAAGTCCCTACAGTGCCTGCACAATATGCAGTTGTGTCCCCATTATCCGCACCCGCAGGCATTGGTGGATCCCAGATAGATGCAGTTTTCGGTTGCTTGAGAGTTACTATGAAAAATAGGCCTAACTAATTCTGTACCTCATACTATACCATACCATACCATGAACTGTATCGACTTAATATGAAATACACCAACTGAAAGCAAATTAAGGGCCTGGCGCAGTGGCTCATGACAGTAATCCTAGCACTCTAGGAGGCCAAGGCGGGTGGATCCCTTTAGTTTGATGCCAGCTTAAGCAAGAATGAGGCCCCATCTCTACTATAAATAGAAAAACTGAAGCAAGAGGATCACTTGAGCCCAAGAGTTAGAGGGTATTGTGAGCTAGATGCCACAGCACTCTACCTGGGTAACAGCTTGAGACTGTCTCAAAAAAAAAAAAGAAAAAGAAAAAGAAAAGAAAATTAAGACAAATAAAAGCAAACTTCACTTACTGTAACAGTTTTTATTGCATTACAAAACAGCTGTGTAAATGCCATATACAATTTTTATGAAAACACATAACAGTTAAAACAAGCATTGACAGGGCACGCCAAGTTAAAACTCTGGGTTTTTTTTTTTGGCAGGGCCACCCACCAGTTGCTTGAGTTCCAGATAACGGGGAGTTTCCTATAGCTGTGAATCAGATTCTGTTTGGGCAGGCCTGTTTGGAAAGCAGTGTGTCCCTTCCTTTCTAAACCAGTCATCTGATTTGCAGTTTGACACATAGAGCAGTAGCCTATTTTTTTTAAAAGATTATATTCATTGGTAGTATTCAGATCAGTCAGGTTTATAGAAAGCTCAATATACAGTATGTGAAATTTTGAGTGTCCAAAACAGATGAATTCTAGGATAATTACTTGTATGATTGAATAACTTTAATACATAAATCTTTTTCCAATGAAGTTTCCCAGATCTATAAAATTAAAATATATGTGATTCTCAGGAGCCCTTCTGTAGAGATTAAGCCTTGTGTCACTCTTGAGTAAGATTGCCAAATTTTATTGATCACATGAATATCAGCATGCTAAAATGAAGTCATTGTTTTGTGCAGTAGAAAAAGAGACTGGGATTTATTAACTGTTCTTTCTCTCTTTTTCCAGATTTAGAAATGGCTGTTGCATACTGGAAATTAGTACTATCTGGAAGATTTAAATTCTTAGATCTTTGGAACTCATTCCTACTGGTAAGCGTCCTTCTTATGTGTGCCCAGTGTGAAGGGTGGGTCCGCAAGTTTGGGGTTTTCATAATTGTGTGACTAACGTCTCACATGGGACATTTTGGAGAAATTAAAAGTACCACACAGAGATCCACAGACCCAGAAAGGGGGCATTGTGGCTTTGCCACCTATGGGAGATGGCCTCAAATGGAGGGGTAATCAGCAGTCCCCTAAAACTCCTCCTGGACTGGGCTTTCTAGGTCTGCTACAAACCTCAGCAATTCTGATCTGTCCTCTCCTCTGTGGGCCATCAGTGATTCTGTATTTCCACTGAGAAAGTTAAAATCCTTTAAGAAAGGTCCAGTGCCACACTTTCTGTAAGTAGATTTGGGCTTTAGCACAAGGACTGTATCGCATTGTCCCGGTACCCTAGCCATGGCACATGTGCCTGGTCTGATGGTCTTTAAATGCATGTTACAGTCCTCAGAGGAAAGGAGACCTTAGTGGGCCCCCAGGAAAGAGCCATGGGACAGCAGGCCAGGTGCTACTGTAGTGCTGGCCTGGCTGGCAGCTCCGGGTTGAGGGAGTGGACGGGGCTGTAGGACATGCCCTAACTCAGAGAAGACAGGGCTGGTGGTAGCAGAGACGCCAGGCTTCTCTCACGGTCCTGTCCAGGAAGGTGAGAGAAAGGGCTCTCAACACCCCACAGCCTGTAGCCTGGCCACCCCCTCGAGTCATTCTCTAATGCCAGGAAATGTGTACTTTGCTGCCACTTAACTGGCTTCGTGGCCTTTGGCAAGTTACTTCCCAGTGCCTTCTTCATCTGGTGACAGTGCTCACAGACACAGCAGCGTGGCAAAGGGCAGAAGCTGGTGGAGGATGGCAGTGCTAAGCCCTGCAGGTCTGTGTGCAGGGGCTTCCCCACAGCTGTGTCCTCGCCACACCTGTGCTATGCCACTTCTGTGAAGACATGCAGAGGGCAATGGCTCCATGCCCCTCACCCTCCGCACTTCACCTGCGGTCACTCCTAAATTCCAGACATTCCTCAGGCCCATGTGCATAGAGATGGGGACCAACGTGCTCACAGCGCGCTGACAGCAAAACACAGAGAGTGGCCAGAGGGAGATCAGTGCCATAGAACTCAACTAGAGAGCAGTGAAAATGGACGATTAGATTCACATGTGTCAGTCTGGTTACATTTCAAACAATGTTATGTGGGATAAAAACAAGTTGCAGAAAACTCTAGGTGTAATTTGCTGGGAGTTAATAATGTTTTAAAATAGAAAGCATGTTTATAAGCTATGTGTGAATACATATACATGAAATTAATGTATGGAAATAGGCATGAGAGTGATTGAATGCTGGATTCAGAGGAAGAAGAGTAGGTCCAGGGGATGCTGTAGGTCCAGGGAAACCACAGGGTTCCACCTCCTCAGCAGGACTGTAGACACACAGGTAATCGATACTCTCCACAGTTTTTGGTATATCTAAAATATTGAATAACATATTTTTAGAGAATTGTCCTATCCCACTGTAAGAAATGTGTAGTATTTTAAAAAATAAATATATAGAACTAAAGTAAATAGAAATATCGACTTACCTGCTGTCCTGCATTGTTTTAGAATTGGTTTAGGAGGCAAATAACAAGATTTAAAATGTTCCTCTTTTATTTGACTAAAAACAGGAGTTTATAATTTTAATATTTAAAATATTTTGTTTTTTGACTCAGCAACCATAGCTCAGTGAGTAGGGCACTGGCCACATACACCAAGGCTGGCAAGTTTGAGCCCAGTCCAAGCCAGCTAAACAACAATGACAACTGCACCAAAAATATAGCCGGACATTGTGGCAGGTACCTGTAGTCCCAGCTACTCGGGGGGCTAAGGCAAGAGAATTGCTTAAGCCGAAGAGTTTGAGGTTGCTGCGAGCTGCGACACCATGGCACTCTACCAGGGCGACAAAGTGAGACTGTCTCAAAATAAATAAATAAAATAAAATTTGTTTTTAAGCAAGTCCACTTTCTGTATTTGTACATTGACATTGTTTAGCTTATAACATTTATACAAAGCACTATTACTACTTTTAACAATTTTGTTGTTGTACTTATTTCTGATCCAATCAGGGAGCATAAGTCATTAAACAGCATGACATCCCTGGGACACCTAAGAGTGAAATTCTATGTCTTAATCTGGTGGATTTTCTTCCCATGTGGTAGGAACATCACAAAAGATCAATTCCGAGGGACACTTGGAATCTTTTGCTGGATTTTGGAAACATGATTGCAGATGATATGTCTAACTACGACGAAGAAGGTATTGAAAGTTGTAGTGCTCTAGCTCCTCATTGACAATGCTCCCCTCGACCTGCACATCCACTTCTCAGAGCCAAGGAGGATACAGACGCTCCTCCCTACGGCCCCTAGGCTCCTGCGTGTACCCTGTCGCTGAAGAAGGGTGATGATAATGGTCATTTCCCTTATTTCTTACATGTCACACAAAAGAAAAGTAAGGCTTCATATTCAGTTTAAATAAGAAGATAGTCCTGTGAACTACAGCATTTCAAAACTGGCCATGCAGAGGCCTGTGGTAGGACAGCATTACATAGATGTTTGGAAATCACCTCTCCTAAATACCAATCCCATTCAATGCCTTAGGTCAGTGATTCCATAACGCTCTTGAAGCTTATTTGGAGGCTCCAAATTTTATCTACTTGTATCAATATATTTATACATATAGTAGTCCCTTAGTATTTCGAGACACTAAACCAAAGCATATTTGGATGCCCATGATGTGATGCACAGGTGCTCCACCATGCTGGGACAGAGCACAGGGCAGCTCTGGGCAGCAACTCTGGGCCACCGGCAGTATACATGTCTGTCTGCCCACGGTTTTAGCTCCTTTTTCTTTATGTCCTCAACACTTAGCACAATACCCAGCCTATGACAAGCACCTAATGAAAGGGGATTGTTGAATGTAGACAGAAGTGTAGGTCCTGGGTGCTCTTGCTGAGGGGACACATCTGCTGAAGCTCTCGGGAGCACATGGGGGGCAAGAATGCTGATGATGAGGAAAGCAGCTCCCCTCCTTGGGACAGATGAGTCCATTTCTTTTCATTCCTGCTCAGCTGGGCCTGATTTCCTGGAGCACTGGACAGGACATGTGGCCAGTGTGCACGTGGGGGTGATGGAGGTGTGTGGATGCCACACCCGTGCTCGCTGGCCTGGCCTTGCTGAGCAGAACTGGGGGACTTTAGCCAACTCATTCTGTAAGACGCAAGCTGTATGAACTTCAAATCATTTGTGTTATTAAACTATAAAGGTTGGTTGATACTGTGGAAAAATGTTTTGACTAAAAAATATTGCTCTAGGCTCGATGCCTGTATCTCAGTGGTTAGGGCACCGGCCACATACATTGGGGCTGCTGGGTTTGAACACGGCCCGGGCCTGCTAAACAACAATAACAACAAAACATTAGCTGGGAGCTGTCATGGGCGCCTGTTGTCCTAGCTACTTGGGAGACTGAGGCAAGAGAATCGCTTAGGCCCAAGAGTTGGAGGTTGCCATAAGCTATGACACGACAGCACTCTACCAAGGGTGACATAGTGAGACTCTGTCTAATTAAATAGCTCTAACACTGATTTTTAAAATTTGTTTGCTTTCCTTTAGGAGCATGGCCAGTTCTTATAGATGATTTTGTAGAATATGCACGGCCAGTAGTCACAGGTGGGAAACGCAGCCCTTTCTAGGCAGAAAATTAAGATGGATTGAGATTATAAAATGAACTGTACCCTGCGAGGAGACCCACGTGTGCAGCTGTGCTCTCTTCAGAAGCTGGTCCCCTGTGCCCAGTCCTGGGATGGAATAGCCATCGGCTCTGCTTAAGGACATGGAGGAGGTTTGTGCACTGTGAGGAGGTCCTCAGAAGATAGCCGCTTTGGAATGTTTGGAGATTTGTCATCGTAGCTGTTGCTTTAGGAGATTTCCACATGATTTTCGTATTTACAAAAAAGTGACAGAGCCCGTTTTCAGGAGTGCAGAATATGCTGCTTTAGTTCATGACTTAAGGCGAACACCAGCAGTCAGCAAACCTCCTGCCTACTCTTACTGGAATATCACTTAAAACAGTGTTTGCATCCTCAGCAGGATGTTGTATTTTTATACAAATCAAAGATGTTAAAAATATGCCATAAGGAAGATAATCTTACCACAGAGTCTAATGTTTTCTAAACTTAGTGCCAGTAATTCAAGATTTATATTTTTTGATTACCAGATACATTTTTGTTTTTATTTTCTCTAGATGTTCATCTGAAATTTATTTTATCGTTTTTGACACACATTGTAGTTTGCACAGTGATGGCAGGTACAGTGGCTCCAGCAGAGCCTTATCTTAAACTGCGTACAACTGTGGGCCCATTTTACTTCCAGTAATGTTATTTGAACTTACTCAGAAATTTCATAAAGTATTTTAAAATGTATTTTATTACATTTAAGGAGATGTTTTTCCATGCAAAATATCTCTTTCATGAGTGATGAATTATAGATTTAAAAATCAAATGTGTTGGTTACTTTCCCCTACCCGTGATGTCATAGTGTCCAGCGTCCAGCCTTCAGTGCAGTCGTGCACATTTGGAAGCTAAAATGTACATCATTGTTCAGAAAATCCCCAAACCTTTATCCTATCTGTGGACTGAAGTCTGTCTTTGTACCATGTTGGCATCTGTCCCTGGTGTTTGCCTGGAATGCTGGCACAGCCCAGATGGGCCTGGTCCTTCAGAGTCGTGCTGTGGACATCACTGTGTTGACCCTACCTCACGTTTGCCAAGACCTTCGAGTCACCAGCATGCCTTGCTGCCCTGTCTTCAGCACTGAGCAGGAAGCAGGAAAGTCATCCCAGACCTGCCACTTGACTGGCTTCTAGAAACATCTCCTGACTACCCGAGGCTTGTGCACGCTGTGGGGGTGAACTGGTGCTTCTAAACAGACCCTCTGGGGCAGGGAGCACGGCACAGGACAGGCCACAAGGACAGGCCCTGCCTGGATGAGGGACCTGAGGACTGGTCTCGGGGTGGGCAAGTCATATGCCTTCTTCAGGCTCTGCGTCCAAACCCGCAAGAGAGAAAGTGTGGCCATCTCTACCTTTCAAAGGCTGTGATTCTCAGAGAGCGTTTACTTAATATAATAAAAACTTCAAAAATGTTAAAGCATCTTCTAGGTTTTGTGAATTCTTGACATGTAATTATTTTGTTCAGAGACGTTTATAGAATTCTAATAATGTATACACTATGGAGATCTGCAATACTTTTTTATTTTTGAGATTTAAAGTTCTATGGGATTATCAATAGATTTCAAAAAACTCATTGGAAAAAGGTTGTTCAAAAAATGCGGTTTCTTTTTCTTCTATTATATACATTTGAGTCATGCATGCTATGAAATGCTAAGAACAGAAATGTGAAAATAAATTATTTCTCTGGTGTTGAGGTGCCCTTTTCATTCTTTTCTTGATTGCCTGGATACTCGGCTAGCAGCTGTCAGGGTACTAGTCTTTGTGGCGGGACACACAGAGGCCCTCTCCCTGTGGCAGTGAACAAGCTCCTCCCACAAGTTTCTTACCTGCCGCCCTGGCAAATCAGCACGTCTTCAGTCGCTAGTCTCTTTCAGTGCTGCATCATGTGCTAAATACGGCATTCCATGGGAGACACTACAGATCTCAAAATATACAGAATTTACAGAAGAGTTGATGGAAATGTAACCAGAATATACTACTACAAACTAAAATATATTGAAAATGACAAATTAATTGAACACAGTAGGCTTAAGAAGGCCGCATTACTTGCACTTCCACGGCACCTCTTTCTGTCTCAGTGACGAAGCATGCATTGTGTTATTTTAGCTCAGTGTTCAGTGTAATATTGTGTATGTTCCCAACACAATGCTTCCGGTGTTTGCTGCAATAGCCACAGTTCCTAGTCCAAGCAGGGCCTCAGTGAACAGCTACTGAGTAAGCAAATCATGGGCTAATGTTGTTTCTTACTATTTGCTGACATAGACCACACCATGTGGAAGTTGTCCCCAGGTATCTTCAGTGGAGTTTCCACCGCCCCAGAGTCAACAACAGAAACCAGATGTGGGGTTGTGCCATTTCAGCCAAACGGTGCTGCTCTCCCCTGGATGAGCAGTCATCTAAGGAGAGCTGTCCCCACCTCTGGCCACTGTCACTGCCTTGTTTGGATGGGACACCTATGCACCTCTCAGGTTTGATGACTATATTTCAAAATCACAGAAGTGTGCTGGCTGGAATAATAATACTTAAGAGGTGCTGAAACTATAGTTCTCAAATGAAAGCTACAACCTAATTCTAGCCTAAGAATGTGGGGAGGGGGTGGGGGAGGGGAGGGGAGAAAGGCGGATGGGTGGTGGGAGGGTGACTGGAAGGATCACCTATATGGTCTGTCTAACAAGGGTACAAGTGAACTTTTCTAGAACTAGAGTATAAATGTTTTAACACAATAACTAAGTAAATGACACAAAGTCTATTTTAACCAGTTTGATGAAAATACTTCAAATTGTATATGAAAACACTACACTGTACCCCATGTTTGCATTATGTATACAGCTATCATTTAATAAAAAAAAAAAAAAAAAAGAAGTGCTGGTATGGTCCTGGATTAAAGCATCTCACTGTCCTGCTTGATACTAAAAAGAATTTATTTTCGGGGCAGAGCCTGTGGGTAGGGCGCCGGCCCCATATACTGAGGGTGGCTGGTTCAAACCTGGCCCCGGCCAAATGGCAACAAAAAAATAGCCGGACTTTGTAGTGGGCGCCATTAGTCCCAACTACTCCGGAGGCTGAGGCAAGAGAATTGCCTAAGCCCAAGAGCTGGAGGTTGCTGTGAGTTGTGATACCATGGCACTCTACCGAGGGCGACAAAGTGAGATTCTGTCTCTATAAAAAAGGAATTTATTGGCTTGGCACCTGTGGCTCAAGCAGCTAAAGCGTCAGCCACATACACCTAAGGTGGTGGGTTCGAATCCAGCCCGGGCTGGCCAAACAACAATGATGGCTGCAACCAAAAAAAATAGCCAGGCGTTGTGGTGGGCACCTGTCATCCCAGCTACTTGGGAGGTGGAGGCAGGAGACTCACTTGAGCCCAGGAGTTGGAGGTTGCTGTGAGCTGAAATGCCACCGCACTCTACCCAGGGGGACAGCTTGAGGCCCTGCCTCACAAAAAAAAAAAAATTATTTTTGTCAATTATGTTTCTAAGTCCATGTGTAACTCCCCACCAGGACCCAGGAGCCCAGTCCCCGCAGAGAGGCTGTCTGGGGCAGGGCAGGGAAATGGACTGGGAGCCCTGTCTGTTCACACTTTGCTGCCCCCACCTCTCCACATTTCTGGGTGTTCTCTCCTTGTGTTGGTGGGGAGGCTTGCATGCTTGGTAACGGTAGGCTCAGATTCTGAGGAAGCTTTGGCTCAGTGGCACTTGCCCACAAGGGGTCTGGAGCCTCTTGTGACCATTGGATAGTGAGAAATGTCAGGATGCTTCGCACGGAGCCTGGGTATGCTTTTCCTCCTGAACACTGCATCTTTTACATTTTCTATCATCAGCATGTTTTATAATCAAGAGTCAAAGTTTTCTGAAAGCTAAAGCTGCATATCAGAGAGGAATATCAATATTGTGCTGAGTGAAGACTCCAGACTTGACAGGCACATGGTGTATTCAGAATTTCTAGGAAATTTCTTAGTACACAGCAACTTAATAAGATGCATTTATTTGAAATTTCTAGAAAAGACAAAGCTAGATAGAGATAAAGCAGATGGGCCACTGCCTGGGGAAGATGAGGGGTGGAGAACGTGGGCACAGAAGCCCTGGGGCAGGCCAGCTCCAGAGCAGGGTATATGCCCACACTCCCACACATCACCCTGCGCTGTGCACAGGGACCTCTGTGGACACCTTCAGGGACAGTGGAAAGAGCCACTGCTCTGTCAGCACTCTCTGGTGGCCCTGAATGCTGACTGCAGCCAGCAGGCCCCTTTGCTAAAGGGGTGGTGCCTGCCAGACACTAGAGGAAGCTGATACCTGCCACGTGGTGGCTCAGGAATGTCTTCTCACTGGTGCCACCTGCAGAGACAGAAAAGGACACTCCGGACAGCCACACAATGACCACTATAAAGGTCAACAGGGCAGGCTGAAGGCAGCCCAGGAAGGGACAAAGGCCAGACGCTAGGCAGCTGTTTGGTGAGAGGGGCTGCCTCCCAGAATGGAGAAATTTAAGGCTGCCATGCTCCTGGGGAGTGTTGGTGATGCTCTTGGCTACAGAAATGTCTGTGAGGAGAATAGTGCCTTGGGCATGAAGATCCGGGAGGAACTGCAAAGTTCTGGGGGCCTAGACCACCTCGTGCTGTCACCAGGAAAGTGGCCCGTGAGTGACAACACTGTCATGCACATCACGACCGCCGAGGCCCTCACTACAGGTAAGGCTGGCAGGTGCTCTGGGCAGGTGGGTGTGGAAGGCACTGTGTGTAAGCCTCACGATCTCACAAGGTGATGCTGAAGTGGTGATGCAGGAGACACCTGTGGGCCTGGGTCAAGTGTAGCCATCAAGTTTCTCCCATAGTGTCTCTTCAAGGAAGGCATTACTTTGCAGACAGTTAAGATTCAGTCTCTACAAAGTGACTTTCCACTTACATTTATAAAATTGCTAACTAAGCCAGCACCTTCTGCTTAGCCCCTTGCTCCAGAGCTGTCTGGGGGTGCGGGGTGCCAGTACAGCTTCACTGCAGAGGTCCAGCATTCTTGTTCCAGACTTGCTACAAATGAATATAAAATAATAAGCCAGTTTGAAATTTGGACGTATTAAAATAAAATTACTTGGAAATTACTTCTAAATTCCAATGAATTGCGTTTAAATTATTATCTACCAAAATAATTCAGCATAGGTAGCTGCCTATACATGAATGTGTTGTGAGAAAATGCTATAAAACTGATCGATCTGGGTGGGGGACAAAGTTTATCAAAGTATTATTTAAGTAGCAAATTGATTTTAGCAGCAAATTTGTGATTTTGCACAAATTTTAGGGAAACAGCAGGTGCTGTTAGTCCAGCTTTAGCCCAGCATATACCCAGCTTTCCCACAATTCACGTGTGTTCTTTGAAGTCCTGTAGATGTTGTTAGTTTATTGTTGCAAAATTAAAATCTAGGCAACTACTTAGTGAGATTTCACCTACACGTCGGCCTCACCATTCCATCTGCCTGCTGTGCATGCCCAGTTTAGTGCTGTGGTCACTGCGTAGGAATGCGGTCAACTTGTGGCCAATCCCTAAATAACCAGGAGAGAACTTCGTGCTGTGATAAGATACGGCGCCACAGTATCTGTGTCTGCCCAGTTATGGAATCCAAGTATTTCCTGCTTCTGGTGTTTTCAGGCAGGTTCTCAGGCACCCTTATGGTCAGCAGTACTGGGACAATGACCAGCAACATGGAGAGTGACACACCTCCTCACACCTCAAGGAAAAACCCCCTGGAAAGTGTGACCTCAAAACCAAGAGCAGTGTGCCGTCTGCACACAGTCAGCACCTGCTCTTAAACTCAGCTTCCCGTGTTTGTCTGACACTGTCTGCACACAGCACATGCACCCACGTGTCTTTTCATGCCAGCCTCATCTCTGTGGGCTCTTCAGTTGCACCATGTGTCTGGGTCTGCAAGGTGACCCCAGAAGGCACCTGGCTCAGGTGGGCAGTCCATGCTGACAGCTGACTCAAGGCCAGACCCACAGGGCAAGTGTACCCCTCCCAGGGTGTGCATTTAAAAAGGGTAAATTAGCTCCACACCTATAGCACAGTGGTTATGGTGCCAGCTCCAAACACTGAGTATGGCGGGTTTGAACCCAGCCCGGGCCAGCTAAACAACAATGACAACTGCAACAAAAAATACCCAGGCGTTGTGGTGGACATCTGTAGTCCCAGTTACTTGGGAGGCGGAGGCAAGAGAATCACTTAAGCCCAAGAATTTGAGGTTACTGTGAGCTGTGACGCTACTGCACTCTACCAGGGTGACAGCTTGAGATTCTGTCTCAAAAAAAAAAAAAAAAAAGAAAGAAAGAATTGTAGCCCATAGAAAGGGTCTTTCTTCCACGCTAGTGATGACGAGAGCCACCTCCCCCGCGGCATTCATGTACCAGGTGCTCATCTGTGACCCTCCACCCCATCCTGTCACATCATCCTGAAGCCAACATTATTGTCTCATCTTAGAGAGGCTGATCACTGCCCCTGCTGTGCCACCCCATGAGTGGTGGAGCTTTGACAGGGACTTGCATGGTCCTGCCTGCAGTGTGTGCTGTCTCTGACCATCTGAGGTCACTGTGGTAGGGCTGGGTCTGGAGGTGCAGCTCGCAGCTACAGGCTGCCCACAGACAGGCAGACGCAGACGAAGTGCAGCCACCTCTCAGCAGACTTAGTTTCACTTAGTCCCTACCAACCACATGGGTCTGCTGCTGAGCGCACTGGAGGTGGGTGCAGCCCTGAGGCCCTGCTGGGACTGTGGGGTTTTGACCTAGGACGCAGCAGAGTCCTGCCTTCTGTGGGGCTTCTGAGCAAGGCAGCATGGATAGCCACAATGCAGCTGTAAGGGAAGCAGGGAGGCTTACTGATTCACCATCTGGGAGATAGAAAAGTGAGCCAGACAGCCACATCCCACAGCAGAGAAACAGAGGAGGCCTAGGCTCAGCAGCTTTGAAGATCTGTCTCCATGTTAAACTCATTTTGTTTTTATGAATTTTTTTTTGCTTTGAAAAGACTAAATTTCAGTTAAATGCAGACATTTCATGGTATCTGATTCCAAAATAAAATAAAATAAAATATTTTAGAGGGCTCAAAAAGGTAAGGCTGAGTTGGGAGCCAGCACATGGTGGGCCTCAGAGAGCCTCGACACATCCATGCAGCAAACATGCCCAGCCAGCACGAGTGGACGTTAGCCCTGCAGGTCCCCCATCGCCCCTACTATGTGACTTGCACCATCATTTCTCCCCTCACTGGGTCCTGCCCCATCCTCCCAACTCCAAGCTGGGCTGACTCGCAGTGTCTTGTGTGGCCTCTGGCTGCCCTCGCCGAGGGAAAGTGACCCTGAATGGGGTGAGGAACAGGAAGGTGACAACCCTCAGTCCTGTCCCTGAACATTTCTGAGGTTTGCAGAGTTAGAGTGAGGCTTCTTGTCTCAGAAAAGGGGGCGATTTTGTCACACACCTCTCCTAATCTCCCCACCACCCCCACCAGGTGTTAGGAGCCCCATGCAGTGGGGTGGGAGGTGGAGGTGGTCTTGGGCTCTCAGAACCTGCCCCTCCACCACAAACAGATGTCACCAGCAACAATCGTGGGCAAAGTCATCCGTCTCCGGAGTCGACCTGGAAGCTCTGAATGAATAAAATACATTCATTCAGAATGTACAGAATAAAATGTGTCATGGGAGAAATAGAATTGGGAGGTGCACCCTCCTGCGCCCTGCCTGTCACAGCCCTGTCCCTACGTGACCAGGCCTCTCAGACTCCACTTTTTTTTTCTTGAGACAGAGCCTCAAGCTGTCACCCTGGGTAGAGTGCTATGGCATCACAGCTCACAGCAACCTTCAACTCCTAGGCTTAAGCGATTCTCTTGCGTCAGCCTCCCAAGTAACTGGGACTATAGGCACCCGCCACAACACCCGGCTATTTTTTGGTCGTAGTTGTCATTGTTGTTTGGCAGGCCTGGGCTGGATTCGAACCTGCCAGCTCTGGTGTATGTGGCTGGCACCTTAGCTGCTTGAGCCACAGGTGCAGAATCACAGACTCCACTCTTGAGGATGTGTAGACACTCCCCATTATGCTGTGGGCTAACAAAAGGACAAAAATACCCAGGCTTTGCAATCAAAATGCACTTACCAGGCAGCACCTGTGGCTCAAAGGAGTACGGCACCGGCCCCACATACTGGAGATGGTGGGTTCAAACTTGACCTCAGCCAAAAACTGGAAAGAAAAAAAAAAAAAATGCAGGGCAGCACCTGTGGCTCAGTGAGTAGGGCACTGGCCCCATATACTGAGGGTGGCATGTTCAAACCTGGTCCTGGCCAAACTGCAATAACAACAAAAAAATATAGCTGGGCATTGTGGCAGGTGCCTGTAGTCCCAGCTACTTGGGAGGCTGAGGCAAGAGAATTGCCTAAGCCCAGGAGTTGGAAGTTGCTGTGAGCTGTGATGCCACAGTATTCTAGGGAGGGTGACCAACCCCCCCACACACACACACTTACCATCCCTAGCCTTGGGCAAGACGAATTATCTTGAGAGCTTATCTGGGAAAAGGGGCAAAAAATGACCTGACATTTTTGTGGAGAGGATAATACTTGTCTGTCCCAGGTGCAGATACTCCACAGTCAGCATCACTGTGCAGGCAGAGGTTGGGCTATGGCGGCTCCTGCCTTCCTGCTGTCCTGCCTCTTAAGGGGGACTCAGGCCCACCCATGTCCAGAGCCCCTGGGGCAGGGTTACAACTCCTGGGCTCCCCCTGAGAGGAGGGAGCTGGAGACGGGGGAGAATTGGCCTCTGTCGCCTCAGACATGTGCTCCCCGCCAGCCCAAGAAACAGGCACTTTGAGTCCATCTTATTCTCATGTGGGGAGAGCTGCTGGCAGGAAACAATGTGGTGGGTTTTTTCTGGATTCTCCTGTGTAACATATGTAAAGAGCATATGGCAAACTGTAATGTCTGAAATCAGAGTGAAACTGAAAGTGAGTTATCCCCATGCCAAGTCTCTCTGGGCAGCCAGGGCCTTAACATGCATCAGCAAAGTCTCCACTTCCTGAAAACAGGTGCCTGTCCCACTGACAGGGACAGCTGTGGTCAGGGCTGCCCAAGTGTGCTCACATGGCAGTTCTGAGCCTGCCTGGGGATGGCTGTGCTCTGGTGGCTCTGATGTGGTGTATGCCCTGCTCTTTCTTCCCAGACTACTGGTGCCTGGATGACCTCTACCGGGAGATGGTGAGGCGCTACGTCGACATCATCGAGAAGCTTCCAGAACGCCGGCCGGACCCATCTACTATCGAAGGCTGCTCTCAGCTGAAACCAGACAACTACCTGCTTGCCTGGCACACGCCCTTCAGTGAAAAGGGTCAGGGAAATCCCTTCTCCCTTCAGCTGCCCCACCAGGGGTCTCACATGCACTGACCTGCTGCCATTTCCACTAACCCCGGCACCTCTAGGGTACCTGAGAGGAGATGAGCTTGCAGCGCTGAGAGTCCACAGGCTCCTCCACGGGGTTTTTCTCAACTGTTCCTGGTTTATTTTAAGGCATATTTTCCACTGCTTTCCATTTAAGTCTGTCTTTTTTTCTGTAATGCCAAGAAAACATGCAGCATCCACACGCCTGTCCCTACAGCACTGTGCTGTGTTCACTGCAGCCGGTTCAGGGAGCCACATCTGCCTTGACAGCTTCTGCCCTCTGTGCTCATCTTGAGCAGGTGAGGCCAACTGGCCCGACTGCAACACAGCCCCTCTTCCAGGCTGGGAACTTGGACTCATTTGTAGCAGAAGAGGAAATGGCTGTAGGCTAGTTTCTGAGAGAGGAAATGTGCTCTGTGACAAAGTAACAGAGACGTGTGTGTCCCTGGACACCCACAGCAATGGGGGAGGCTAGGTGAGCAGCTTTGGCAGCGCACATGGACCAGACCTAGGGAAAAGCACTCTGGACGGCACAAGGGGCTATGTGGACAGATGTAGGCTGAGTCCTGCCGGGACAGCCCAGGGCATAATCGCCTCCTGGGTAAAGACCATGAGCCGCTTTGGGGGGAATCTGGGTTACCTGTCAAAAGTCTCTAATGCCAAACAATTTGACCTGCCAGTTCCACTGCCAGCAATTTCAAGGACCCATGATGACAAGGTGCTAACACAAGTGAGCAAAGGCATGTGCACAGGGCATTCTTGGCACCTCCTCAGTGTTACCTGATGCCCTCTGTGGGAGACGGTGACTGTGGTAAGCCCTGTGCACTAAGGCACGCAGAGACCAGGGCACGAACCCTCAGGTCTGGTTCCCCCCAGCCAAGGGTGGTCAGGCCTCTCCAGGGGGTGTCTGAGCCTGCACCTTGTGGAATGGGAGTGCTTATTGTTTTCTTTCTTTCTTTTTTTTTTTTTTTTTTGCAGTTTTTGGCTGGGGCGAGGTTTGAACCCACCACCTCCAGCATAAGGGGCCGGCACCCTACTCCTTTGAGCCACAGGTGCAGTCCTGTTGTTTTCTTAATTGCTTTTTGATTCATACACTTTTATTCTTTTTCTGCATCATATACATGTATAATTTTAAAATAAAAACCTAAAGTAAATAGTGTTCTTTTCAGGAACAGCTTAGAGTCAGGCATCCTGTTTCCTAGCCCGAGTTCTGAGAGAGCTCTTGATACTAGGCAGACACTCCCTGAGCTAAGCCACCTCTCTGTGAGAATGCACTTGTGGTGCACCAGACCTCTGGCCTCCTCCAGAGGCCCTGGGGAGCCACGGAGGGTGCACTGGCCTTGCTGTCTTTCCCTCTGAGGCATCAGAGCCCATCTCCTTGTCTATCTCAATTTCTAGGACTCTACCCCATAAATATATGTGATTGTTATTTGTCAATTAGAGATAAAATATAATTTTCAAATTTTTTTAAAGTAAAAAATGAAAAGTTTTATAGGGAAGTTAAATATTCTGGAAATTAACGACCACCTACCATAAATGTATTGAACAGAATCATGTAATAAGCTTTCCATGAGTCAGTGAAAATAATAAAAAATAAATTAAAATATGAAATAAAACTGGCTTACCTTGCTGGCAGCTCTTTCAGTAGGAGTCCTATAACCCCAGTGACACTCCAGTGACCTGTCTCAGATACTCTTCTACAGAAATTATATTGTATTTTTTAATCTGAATGTTATTTATTAGAATACATAAAAATTTTTTGAACTTTTTGTTGTGAAAAATTCAAACAATGCAAGAGTAGAGAGAATAATTTAACAAAGCTGGGCTGCTTTTAGCGTTTGTAGATGGAGCCCTTAAGCCAGCCAATGGTAGGAAATCCTCAGCCGAGGCGGGGAGGGTGCAGAGGCCAGGCATGAACTACGCTCTTGGCCTCCCTGTGCCTGAGGCTGGGAGCAGCTGTCCACAGCCACAGTCAAGTCATGGCCATGCTCACTCTGCTGAGCTCCTACCACTGCGTGCCCTCTGTTGGGCAGTTAGAGCAAACCGTTTCAGTTCAGCCATGAACATGTCCGTGTGCATCACCAGAAAATAAGAAGTTCCTTTTTAAAACAATCAAAATGTCATCATATCTAAAAAATTACTGATCTTTTTATTAATATCATAAAATGTTAAAATTTCTTATTTGACCTTAAAATGTTTTTTCATATAATCTTACCACCCTATCCAAATAGGGGTTTTTATTTTTCTGTTCTGATTTTGTCCATATGAAAATATTGTCACATAGGAATAGTCATTATGTTTCTTGAATTGGGTACTCTGATTTTTTTTTTTTTTTTGAGACAGGGTCACTCTCTGTCACCCCAGCTGGAGTACAGTTATCACAGCTCACTGTAGCCTCAGACTCCTGGACTCAAGAGTTCCTCCTGCCTCAGCCTCCCAAAGTACTGGGATTATAGGCCTGAGCCACTGCACCTGGTCCTGTGTGATTCCATTTATATAAAACTCTAAAAATGGCAACTAGAGTGTCTTATCAGTGGCTGCTGGGGTGAGGCAGGAGAACAGATTCAAAGGACAGAGAAAGCTTTGGGGATGACAGGTGTGTACCTCTCTGCATCTGGGCACAGGTTCCTGAGTGTTCATACATGTCAGAACTCGTGAGTGTGCGTGTGCTGAGTATATGTAGTTTATTGTATGTTATTAGAAGTCAGTGAAGCCATTTTTAAAGGTAAAACTTGTGATTGAGGGTATGCCACATACACAGTTCCATCTTCTATATTTTCCCCAGGTAGGAGCCTCTTATCAGTATGTCCCCAGCCCACACACACACACAAAAAAATCTGTTTTTAACAACTAAACAGAGCTCCAACACATGGACGCAGAGCCTGGCTCATCTCTGCTCCTGTCTGCTATCAGCCATGTGGGTGGCTTGCCATTGCTTATTAACTTAAGTAAATTTCCTATGAAAAACATGTTATTACACAAATTTGTGTACTTTTAAAGTTGTTTACAAAAGCTATATAGTCACAGGTGAAATCATTGGAGCAAAAGTCTAAACTCAGGAATTTTGTTTTCCATGTAGGTTCAGGATTCGGAGCTGCCACTAAAGCCATGTGCATTGGCATGCGGTACTGGGACCCGAGGCGTCTGGAGACCCTCGTCGAGGTCAGCCTCGAGTGTGGCAGGATGACCCACAACCACCCCACAGGTAACCTCGCCAGGCTGGTGCTATCTGGCATCTGTCTGTACGTGAAGGAGCCAGTGTGCAGGGGAGTCTAAAGCAATCACATTCATTTTTTGATTTGGTCATTTGTTGGGGGAGTTGGCTTATATTCCTTAATCTTCAGTTTTGCTTAAAGTCTATTTTGCACCTAACAGCTAAGTGTGGCATTGATAAAACTGTGCAAGGGAAAGAATCCTCATGGGTTTTGCACTGGACAGGTTGGGGTCCGGCAAGTCAAGCATCATGGCTTGGGTGATGCCTTTGACGGAGACTAGTCCAGGAAGTCGACAGCATTTCCCACTATGGCTACACCCTGGTGTGGCTGCTCCCCACCTGTAGCATGGCTGTGATGATGTGCTCACATCTGCTTACTGAGGCATATGAGGAAGAAATAGCTGGACAGTAAATAACCCCTGAGCAAGGCATTTCCATGTCTGTGCAGGGATTAGTCCCACCACACAGGGGCACCTGGTGGGCAGAAGTAGCCCATGATTTGGGACTGGCATAGAAGGATAGGAGGGGCACTTCCCACCTGCACTCAGCCCCAGCCAGGGTGATGCCCAGTCCATGCTCAGCCCCAAGGCTGCCTGGGGCCCTGCGACTGCTCTCTCTCCAGCTACCATCAGTGTGGGGCAGGTGTTGCAGGCCACCCCCAAACTCTTAGGGAACCAGAAAGGGATAGAGCAGTCCCTGCTGACTGCTTCAACCAAGAGTAAATGAAAAGTTAAAAGAATTTAAATTTCTAAAACACAAATACATTTCCTACTCTTACCAAAAAATGTTACTTCACATGTTTAGTGTTTGGGAAGTTTTTGTGTTTCTCTGATGTGACTGAAATGCCGAAGGGCTGATCTTACCCACCGGGTACCTGGAGGTGCTTCCCACTCATCCTTCTCAACTTTCAAAGCACCTTTGGCAGCAGCTTCACAGTTATCACAGCGGCCTGTGTCCTGGAGCCTAGCACCAAACACCCGAGAGGTGGCGGCACGCACCCCAAGGTCAGGGCCAGGGTCCAAGCTCTGGGCTTGAGGATTAGCCTTTTCCAGGGGCTACGGCTCTCACCCCCAGCCGAGACCCTGTCCAGATGCACACTTCCTTGCATGGCCCTAAAAGTCAAGGGAAGCATCTCCATATAGTGGCACCAAGGCTGAGGAGTGGCTGTCTGGAGTGGCCACTGTTCACCGTGCCCCCAGCCTATAGGGCCCTACACGGCCTGGTCCCTACATAGCCCTGACCAGGCCATATCACACTCGCATCGTGCAGGGGGTGGAGCAGGAGGTTCAAGCACACAGTACTTGCCAGGGACCCATGATAGGTCAGCAGCACCAGGACTGCCCTTTGGCCCATCCAGGGTGGGTGTAGGGCCTCACACACCAGGGTTGCCTCGCACAGAGCCCTCAGCAGGGACACAGGCAGCCCCAGCCTTCTGAAGTCGGCACTACTGTGTCCTGGAGTCGCATGTGCTCCCACTGTCTCACACTCCTGCCCACTGGCTTAGGGAATCTTTGTGCCCACACAGGGCCCATGAGGACAGAGGGCAGGAATGTCCTGCAGGGTTAGAGCTCATGTGGCTCCTCAAAGAGCTGCGTCCACAAAGGCAGATGCAGCCCAGCGTCCCTCCTCAGAGGGCAGCTCAGCCCTGGAGGGGAGGTTCTTTCTAATAACATGGATGAACCTTCAGGACGTACTGCTGAAGACAACCAGACACAAGAGGAAAGACACTGCCACCCACTGCCACAAGGTCCCAGGGCCACCAAACCCATATAGCCAGAAAGTAGATAGTGAGTGCTAAGTGGGGCAGGCCTCTATGTTCAGCAGGGACAGGGCTCCAATTTGAGCAGATGAGGACGTCCTGGGGTGGGCAGTGCCATGGCTGCACATGTCAGGGTAGACTCAAGGCCTCTGACCTGTGCACTTATATGCAGCCAAGGTGGTGAGACACCCTGACCCTGCCCTGATATCCTATGCCACACAGTGCCCAGAGACCACTAGGCCCTGTCCAAGTGGCCCACATGACAGTGTCTCTCTCTTTTCCTGTTGCCCCCAGGCTTCCTCGGGTCTCTGTGCACCGCCCTGTTCTCATCTTATGCTGCACAAGGAAAGCCGCTCGTGCAGTGGGGCAGAGACATGCTGCGGGTGCTCCCGCTAGCAGAGGAGCACTGCCGGAAAACCATCCGGCACATGGCAGGTGAGCTGGCCTCCCTCTCTGGCCGGGCCTCAACCCACTGGTGACCAGAAAGAGGCTGCCCTGGGTTCACACTGGGCGTGTTTGGATACACTCAGCTCCTCCTTGCCTCTCAAATAGGTGAAACCAAGAGAACCCCTGGGTGGTAGGAGTGAGAGGGACTGGCCTAGTGGAGAGGTCCCCAGAGTAGCTAAAGGGTATCTGTCTCCCCACAGAGGGGCAACAAGACACTCACTACAAGCCCCAATGTGGGTGCAGTCAGCCCAAGTCCCCACCTCAGGCCTGGCAATCTGGCCCCAGCCTCACCACCACTACCACCACCCCCGTGGTAGAGTCTTACCTCACTAACCAAGACCATGCGTGGCTTCCATCTTCACGCTATACAACCTAAACAGCATTTCCCAGGGCCCCTGAATCCCTGGGTAATGGGAATTGCATCCCAGGCCCATCCCAGGCCTGTCTTGGCTTCACCGTGGCCAGGAACCCAGTGTCCCCTCTGCAGCATCTCAGTTGCACCTTCCAGCATCCAGGACTTCCCTACCCTGCACGGGCAGGTCCCCCACACCTCCTGTTCTCTGGCCTTGAGAAAGAGACAGTGTGAACAGCAGGGCAGGGCAGGCCAACCTTGCCATGACCCGAGGGCTGCTGGGTGGGGGTGCCTTCCTGTGGCCTGTGGGGCACACAGCCACAGACTTGGCTTATTTCTGAGCCAGCATCCTTTGTACCAACTGACCCTCTGCAGAAAGTCACTTGAACACTTCAAGCTATTATAAGAATTAGACATAGTGTGCCGGAGGCGGTGGGCTCAAACCCAGCCCTGGCCAAAAACTGCAAAAAAAATTAATTAATTAAAAAAAAGAATTAGACATAGTGGAACTCCCCCCTCTCCTTGTTTGGCAGGCACGCTATTAAATTAATTAAAATGTATAGGTTCAGGGTGGCGCTGCGGCTCAAAGGAGTAGGGCACCAGCCCCATATGCCGGAGGAGGTGGCGAGTTCAAACCCAACCACAGCCAAAAACTGCAAAAAAAAAGAGAAATGTATAGGTTCAGAATTTTCCAGAGAAAGTGCTTAATACTGCAGGCATCCTCTTAGCCTAAGACACCAGAGGCTTCCTGAGCTGCCCCTGCTGCCTCTGTCTCCCTTCCTGCCATTTCTAAGAGCTAGAGCAGTGGTTCTCAACCTGTGGGTCGCGACCCCTTTGTAACAATGAAAATACATCCTGAATATCAGATATTTACATTACAATTCATAACAGTAACAAAAGTACAGTTATGAAGTAGCAATGAAAATAATTTTAAGGTTGGGGGTCACCACAACATGACGAACTGTATTAAAGGGTTGTAGCATTAGGAGGCATTAGGAAGGTTGAGAACCACTGAGCCAGGACGTTAGCCCATCCTGGGGCCTGCACCCACCCTGTGCCCCTCCTTTCTCCCCAGCTGGGAGCCACTCACTCTGCTCTTTTTACCTTTAGAATACCAGGAGCATTGGTTTTACTTTGAAGCTAAATGGCAGTTTTATTTGGAGGAGAGAAAAATCAGTGAAGACACAGATGATAAAGCCACCTTTCCCGACAATTATGATGCTGAGGAGAGGGACAAGGTAAGGCTGGCACCAGGTGGGCTTAGGGGGTGTGCAGCCAGTGAGTGGGTGTCAGGTGGACCTGGGAAGCTGTGCCGTCTCACACACAGGCATGCTACCAGTGGGCATGTGTGTCTGACCTATGGCTCTCTCCTCAGACCTACAGAAAGTGGAGCTCAGAGGGTCGAGGCGGGAGACGAGGCCATGATGCCCCCATGATTGCATACGATGCCCTCCTAGGAGCAGGTGACAGCTGGACAGAGCTGTGTCACCGGGCCATGTTCCACGGAGGTGAGATTTTCCCTCCTTGAAGGTCGTGATCTTCCAGGCAGCCAGCACCCCTCTCACCCTGAGCACCCTCAGGGCGTCCAGGGGCCCACAGGCAGCCTGTGTGTCCTTCTCTGTCTCCACAGTGCACCTTGGCCCAAGCACACATGGAGGCCACAGGCCCATTTCCTCCCAGCCGCTCCCACCCCATGGGGTCAGTGTGAGTGTGGAATAAATGGTTAAGGGCAGCTGCTCAGCTCTGGGCTTAGCACAGAATTCTCATTGTTCAGTGTTACAAGAGTCATGTATGTTTCTCTTGCTGAAACCCAATGCTTTAACAGTGCAGATGGGGCTCCTGGGAGGACTGGGAGGCCAAGGGAGTGATGGACAGGCCTCACAGAGCAGGTGGGAGGAGAAATGTAGGTGCAGCGCACTGGTGGGGAGCGCTGGGGACAAAGACTCAAGGGACAAAGTATAGGGCTGATGGAAGCCTGGTGTGGCCTTGGAGCAGCCCTGCAGAGCTGTCCCATTTTCCCTCCACCTGGCTGCAACTCATCCACACCAGCTTCTCTGCCCAGCACACATGTTCATGTGCGTACGTGTATGTGTACACATGCATGTGTGTGCATGGAGAGCTGACACAGTGACAGCCAGAGTGTGAAGTTGTCTGGAGAGAGAAGCCACAGGGGATGGCTGTGTGTCTTTGAGATTGGAAGTTTGCTCTTTTTATCTCTGAGCTGGCAAATCTTTCAAGCCTACAAAAGATGCTATATAAATATTGGTTCCAATATCCTCATTTCACAAATTTTGAAAAACTGCCTGAGGGCAAAGTAGGGTAGACTTGGGACCTGAGGCACAGTCCAAGCTGCAGCCTTGGCCGGGGCCCTTCTGCATGGCAGCTCACCCTCGGGGCTGGAGGGGAGTCTTTCTCCCTCTAGGATATGTCAGAGGGTGACTGCGGGGCTCTGTGCACCATCCTGGAGTGTCGCTGGTTCTGGCAGCATTGTGACACCACTGGGGACATCACACCCACCTCAGGGAGGGAGAAGGGGACACTCCTTTTTATCGCCACCCCCCCAGAGCAGAACTGGGGTTTGACCCCCACCCCCACCCTGGCCTGAGGGGTCTCTGACAGGCTCCTTGGAAAAGAGCAAAGCCCCAGCTAGGTGGGTATGGAGTTGCATCAGACCTTGCCTTTCTGTTCCAGGTGAGAGCGCGGCCACAGGCACCATAGCTGGCTGCCTATTTGGACTGCTGTACGGCCTGGACCCTGTCCCCAGAGGCCTATACCAGGAGCTGGAGCACCGGGAGCAGCTGGAGGCCTTGGGCGCAGCCCTGCACCGCCTATCCTCCGAGGAGAAGTAAAGCTTTCTGCCCTGCGGGCCTCCCTCTCCCTGTCCAGCCCCACAGCCCTCACAGCCATACAAAGTACATTGTTTGTCCTGCCCTTGTTCTCCAGTGCCTGCCTGGAGCCCAGACTAACCCTAGACTAACACTGCTTGCTGAGTCCTCCAGCAGCATTAACCATACTCAGGGCATCGAGAGTTTGTGTCCTAAGGGAAATAGATGTGCTGAGCCCTGCCCTTAACTACCCAGCCCAGGTTTTAATCACACTAGATGTTTAAGATCAACCTGTTTTGGAGCAACTTACTGAAAAAAACAAGAAATAAATGCCTCGTGCTGTCTTCCCGGTGGTCAGCCTTTGGGGCAGGTCAGTGTCACAAGTTAGTGGGCCTTTGGCCTGCTGCAGCCCTGCTTCCTCCAGCTCCCTGATACAGAAGCAGCTGCACCCGTGGCTGGTACTTCTGCCCTGGAGAGGCCTTGAAATAGAGAATACTTCATCTTCTTTAAAATAAGTTTGGACACAATTTTTTCAAGTAGCATCTGGTGTGAATAAAACAACAATTGTGACTAATGTTCAGCTCTGTGCTTGACAGTGCAGCTGGGCCTGTCTTGTTTCTTGTGATGCATTTTCGTCTAAGGGCTGCTCTGAGCAGGGCCAGAGCCCTCCATGGAAGCTTCCCGCACTCTGCAGAGCAGACGTGGCCAGGCAGAAAGCGTCTACTTGCTGGGATCTGGGATGGCATCCGAAATGCAGACATCTGACTCCCATAGGCTTTGTCTTCTCTTAAAGGGTGATTTGGATGGGAAAGTGTTGATGTCTTTATCTTCTCTCTGGGTCTGTTTATTTTTTTAAGAGACAGAATCTCACTCTGTTACCCCAGCTAGAGTGCAGTGGTAGAATCATAACTCACAGTAACCTTGAACTGCTCACTCAGGCAATCCTCTTACCTTGGCCTCCCAAAGTGCTGTAACTACAGGCACACACCCTTACCCTCACCTAATACTTTATAGAGAGGGGGTCTAACGATGTTGCACAGGCTGTCTCAGACTCTCGCCTCAGTAATGAGATTACAAGTGTGAACCACCACACCTGGCCTCACTTAGGGTTTTTATGTGAGTGGACAGATAGGTGGGAGAAGCTGGCAGACTCTGCAGTAGCGGGCCCCAGACTCACCGCTTACAGCTAGCTGGGTGGAGGCTTACGGGAACTGCCATACTCCATCCTCCAGGCACTGCCCCACTCTTCTTCCTCTGGAGGAATTGCCCCTATATTCAGCACAGCAGCAGGTATGCCCTGGCTTGGGGGTGGGTGTCCTCAGTACAGATGAAGTCTGGTCACTGCACTGTGCAGATGCAACCAAGCATTTCCTTCATGTGTCTCTGAATAACTCAACTAATGTGCACGGCTACTGATGCTTTCTAGTCCAAAGAACCAGAAAGACAGACACATCGGGGAGAGGGCCTCAAAGCTACACACTGCCCACGGCAAGGTCTCAAACAAGAGTAGTGGGTGTGGAGAAACTGAGAATTATCTCTCAGGAAAAGAAACCCAGTTAAGGTAAGTGGGGGTTTTCTTAGCATGTAACACAGTAGCAGGGTGTCCTGAAGCACCGTATCCCACGTCACCAGCCTGCCCCGACAGTGCCCTCCCTTCAACCCTGCTATACAGGAGAGAAGGCTGGTCTCAAAGGAGTGTAGGTTGACTGGACTGGAATGAGGGCCTTCTCAGGCTCCGTCTCACTGATGATTTCAGAGAATTAAATCCTTCCATGAGAATCAGAAAGTGAGTCTATTCATAAATTAATAATACATTAAAAGACACACACTAAAACTAAAATTTATAGCATCATAAAAGAAAATTTTCCTATTACACAGAAATGCAAAAGTTGAAAGGAAAAATAAAACAAAATACAAGATGAATGCTGTACCTACTCTGATTTTTAACTACTTAATACTTGCTGGTTTCATTTTTATTATAAAAGTGACATGTGGCTCAGCATCCGTAGCACAGTGGTTATGGCAACAGCCACATACACCAAAGGTGGCAGGTTTGAACCCGGCCTGGTCCAGCTAACCAACAATGACAACTGCAACAAAAAACAGCTGGGCTTTGTGGCAGGTGCCTGTAGTTCCAGCTACTTGGGAGGCTGAGGCAAGAGAATGGCTTGAGCCCAGGAGTTTGAGGTTACTGTCAGCTATAACACCACAGCACTCTACCGAGAACAACATAGTGAGACTCTGTCTCAAAAGAAAAAGTGACATGTGCACACAGCTTCAGAAATCCAGATGCTATAAATGGTGGCATGTGGGACTCATGTCACCAGTCCCAGCAATACAAGTTCACAATTCCTCATGCTTCCCTCCATCCCTGGAAATTCTCTCTGCACATACCAGCGTTTGTGTGTCATTCACATGCACACGTGATTTCTTCCCACAAATAGGATTTATAGTATATTTAATGGTTTGCTCTGACTTTTTCCGCTAACCTGGGTTTTTTATATTTCTCTATATCCCCATAATGTAACTATCTCAGTCACCTGCTGTCTCTTGTATAGCCATGCCCTGACTCAAATACTCAACCCCACTGATCAGGTTTAAATTTTTTCCATTCCTTTTTTTTTTTTTTTTTGAGACAGAGCCACAAGCTGTCCCCCTGGGTAGAGTGATATAGCATCACAGCTCACAGCAACCTCCAACTCCTGGGCTTAAGCAATTCTCTTGCCTCAGCCTCACAAGTAGCTGGCACTACAGGCACCCACCACAACGCCTGGCTATTTTTTGGTTATAGTTGTCATTGCTATTTGGCAGGCTGGGCTGGGTTTGAACCTGCCAGCTCTGATGTATGTGGTTGGTGCCTTAGCTGCTTGAGCTACAGGCACTCAGCGGTTTTTTCCCATTCCTTAAGCAGCATTTTTAAACACCTGTTCCTTGTGTTTACTCAGGCGTCCTCAAACTACAGCCCAAGGGCCACTTGAGGCCCGCCTAGGACATTTATCCGGCCCGCTGGGTGTTTTTGCCGCAGTTGCCTGTCCTGCTTAGCAGCCTACTTGTCCCAGGGACTGCAGTCTGCCCCTCCAACGGTCTGAGGGACAATGAACTGCCCCCCCATTTAAAAAGTTTGAGGATCCCCGTATCTCTTCTAAAAAGAAATGCCTAAGAGGCATTTTTTTCACATGTAACATCTCTGAAATTGTAGGTCATTCTATATTTTTTGTTTCATAGTTGAATTGGTGGAGATTTTTCTTTTTCTCTGAGACTGAAATAAGGGGCATATTACTGCCAGGCGCCCCTTATGGCAATGGGGTGTGAACTGGCCAGGAGCAGCGCTGAGGACCCTGTGTGGGGCCACAACACTGGTTCAACATCATGTGCTGGTGCTGGGGAGATTGGTGCCTCCTGCTCCCGGTGGCAGACAAGGACGCCTCAGAGGCAGGCGTGGGCTGAGAAAGGTCGCCTGCTCTGCCCTGTTCTCTGCCCAGATCTGTTGGCAGGGCTCCCCTGTCAGTGGTCCTGGGACATGGATGGAGGCCTCTGATTGCTGCTAAGAAAGACTGTGCCTCTCAGGAGAGAGCTGGACTCAACCACATGTGTCCTCACAAATACACCTAGGCTCCGCCCTGGGGACCTGAGGCAGGACATTCAAATATGTCCCCATAGGAGTTACACACTGAAAACACGGGTCCTTGGTGGAAGGTGTTTCTGTCAGACCCAGATGTTTGACCTTGGGCTGATTTAGATCAATTCATTTCCCCAAAGTCTTTGGTTAAGAGGCTCTGCATTGCTAGTCGAGGTGGCTCACGCCCGTAATCCTAACACTCTGGGAGGGTGGATTGCCTGAGCTCACAGGTTGGAGACCAGCCTGAATAAGAGCGACACCCTATATCTAAAAAATAGCTGGGCATTGTCTCAGGTGCCTGTAGTCCCAGCTACTTGAGAGTCTGAGGCAAGAGAATGGCTTGAGCCCAGGAGTTTGAGGTTGCTGTGAGCTGTGACGTCACACCACTCTACCCAGGATGACAAAGTGAGACTGTCTCAAAAAAAAAAAAAGGCTCTGCATTTATGCTTGAAGCCACTTTATCAACATTTTTATATCTAAAAACCAGATAAGAGGTAGGTTTGGCAGACACTGTCATTCCTTTCTGATAGTTTAGAGGGAACAGACCCAGGTAGATGAAGCAACTTAACCAGATAGGGCAAGCCCACTCAGAGGGTCTAATAAGAGGAAGTAGCCCAGACAAATCTAACAAACAGCAAAATAACAGAGCCATGTGACCACCCTCCTTCCCTGACCACCACTGTACTCATGTCAACCACAGCTTGTGAGGTGTTTATTGCCCTTAATCTATCTCCCTGTAAGGTAGATGAGGAAATCAAATGTCAACTGATAAAGTTGGTAGTACCCATATTGATGTTCAACCCAAATGTCTGGGCTTTAAAATCTCTGCCATTAAAAATTCATTAATAAAGTTCCTTTAAACTGGAAATAAATTTTACATAAAAGTGCAGGCACTGCAACTCTTCTGGTTAAAATCCAGACGTGTCAACTATGTCCAGCTAATGCATAGAAATAAATTACAAACACACTCAGAATGTTACAGAGGGCATAGAAATAACCCCTGGAACCTAGTATACTCAGTGTACCAATCTGTGAACAGAGACCACTCAGCAAAGAAGAGTTTGGCAGTGAGGTAGACAGAACCCATGTGTGGCAAGCCTGTTGAGCACGTCAGCTGTTGGTCTGGTGGCCACGGGAGATGATTCCCAAGGTCACAGGCCATCCCTTGGCCTTGTATACCACCTGGCCCTGGCAGTATAGGCTTCCTGACCTGGAGACCCTGCAGTGCCAATAGGAACACAGCAAGAAAGCCTCCTTGTCCCACACACCAGAGAACCCTAGAGAGCTCAGGGGCCCGAATGCATCTGCGGATACCAAAGAATGTCACCACACCCAGGACACATCTGTGCTGTCAGGGTCATGGGATGCTACTTGTCACTCCATGGCTTTGCTTTCTTCCTTTCCT